TGACTGACAGAGCAAACTACCTCTATTGGTGCAGTAGTGGCACTGTTATCTGGGGGAGGGGTGTTGGTAATCAACAGCTATCTAATTAGATTTAAAGCACTCTCAATGGGATGGAACTCATGGGTAACACTGTAATAGCTGTAGCCATGGCTGGAGAGGTCATAGATCCTAGAGAAAACCCTATCATATCTTTAGACAAAGAAATTTCTTAACATATACTAAATATGAATCCTTATATTTACAGATAAGTGTACCATATAGCAGTCATCAAAGAAGCTTCTTTTAGTAACAGATAGAGGCTATTACAGAGTTCCACAACTGGTCACACATAGAGAATATATGTCTGAGAGATGCCCAGCCCTAGGTGACACATCTACAGTGGAACCTCTACACCTAAGGCTCATGGAACATTGTGGAACATGGGACAGAGACAATACTAATATACCCCTCAACTCTCACCAGCAAAACTTCCTTATACTACAGAGTGCAATGCACACAGAAGGCCACAACTGGTGAAGTTTTAGAGAATAAGAGACTGAAGAGTATGTATCCCTAGGTAGAACTCCTATATTAAACCTCACCCACCCATGGCTCAGGGACCATTGCAGGAAAGGGGGTGAAAAGATTGTAAGAGCCAGGGTTGGTCCACGAACATAGGGAAACAGAAGATTTCAGGTCACAGAAGCTTGCTTATGTGAATTTCTGGCAATGGTGCCATCGTGCACAAGCCCCATGCTGACTCAATCAGACAAGGGCCCAGTGAACAAGGGAAATGGGCAGAAGGCCTCAGTCCTAGCCTGGGAACTACTGACAACTGATTAATGCTGAGTGAGAGAGAATAGATCTTCTTTAAGATCTCTAGATAAGCTGACTAGATTGCACTAGATTAACTTGCACCAAAGGAGATCTGGGTACAAATGCTTGACTGGACAGAACTTAACATATATGACAGAATGCATGAGGTCTGGTGGAGGGGGTATGAGGGTCATGGATGGAGGAGGGGTCTAAATTTGATTAAGAACTATTGTATGAAATTCACAAAAACTCAAGAAAAAATATTTTTTAAAAAGGAAAGGAACACATCAAAGAAAATGAAAACCTTAAGTGAATGAATGAACAGAATATGCAGGATGTTTAGAACACCATAAAAGCCAAATCTACAAATTATGGGAAAAGAAGAATTATTCAGGTCAAAGCATAGAAAATATTTTCAATAAAATCTTACTATAAAATTCCCCAAATATTGAGAAACAGATGTCATTACAGATAAAAGTGGTTGATGGGACAACAAATGGAGGACCAGAAAAGAAACTCCCAATGGCATATTATAGTTAAAACATTACAAACGAAGGATGTTGAAAACTGCAAAAGAGTAAGGCCAACTCACATATAATAGCACCCACCAAAACAATAGCTGATTACTCAATTGAAACTTTTTAAACCTTTTTTACATTTTATTTTTATTTTACGTGTATGAGTGTTTTGCCTGCATGTATATGTGTGCAATGCCTGTGGCCTGTGTCTGCAGAGGCTGAATAGGGCTCCAGAACCCCTCTAACTGGAGTTATGGATGGTTGTTAGCTACTATGTAGGTGCAGGGAACTAAATCCAGGCCCTCTGGAAAAGAAGTCAGTGCTCCTAACCACTGAGCAACCTTTCCATCCCCTTATTTTGTATTTTAATTTTGCATATGTGCATGTATTTGGAGGTCAAAGGACAACTTGCAGGAGTCAGCTTTTCTCCTACCATGTAGATTCTGAGGACTGGGCTCAGGTCTTCAGACTTGTTGACAAGCACCTCTACCTACTGAGTCATGTCACCGGCTCTCAATGGAAAATTTTAAAGCCAGAAAGACTTGGAAAAATGTTGTCTAAGCCCTGAAAGACCACAGTCCAATCTGGAATATTATACCTGGCAAAGCTACCTGTTATGAGTGAAGGGGAAATAAAAACTTTTCATGCTAAAAACAAACTAAAGGAATTTATGAGCACTAAACTAGTCCTTCAGAGGATACTAGAAAGAATACTTCAGACAAATGAGAAGGATAAACGCACCCAAGAGGACACAAGGAAAGATAAATAATACCAGGGCTGTTAAAAAAAGGTATCTAAGAAAATAACCCCAGATCATTAAAATGACAGGAAGTAATACTCATCTTTCAGTATTAACACTGAGTATTAATGAGCTCAACTCCTCAATAAGAAGATGTAGACTAAAAGACTGGATTAGAAAATCTTTTTTTCTATTTTTAAAAATTAATTTTTATTTTTGTCTATGTGTGTTATGCCTGCACATATGTAAGTGTATAGATGTTGTGCAGTATCCACAGAGAACAGAAGAGGGTGCTAGATCCCCTGGAACTGGATTTACAAATGGTTATTAGCTGCCATGTGAGTGCTGGGATTCAAACCTTAGTCTTCTGCAAGAACAGTCAGAGCTCTTAACTTCTGAGCCACCTCTCCAGTCCAGGATCCATCTTTTTACTGACTCCAAGAAACATACCTCACCATCAAAGGATACAAAAAGATTTTACAAGCAAATGGAACTAGGAAACAAGAAGGTATAGCTATCCCAGGATCTGACAAAATAGACTTCAAACCAAAACTAGTCAGAAAAGATAAAGAAGGTCACTTCATACTCATTAAGGGAATAATCTATCAAGAGAATATCACAATTCTAAACATATACCCACTGAATACATGTGCACAGCATTTCATAGAACAAAACTACTAAATCTAAAACCACAATTTAACCCTGACACAGTAGCTGTACAGGACTTCAATACCTTGCTTTTGCCAAAAGACATGTTGTCCACATAAAAATTAAGCAGAGAAACACTGGAGTTAAATGATACCATGAATTAATTAAACCTAACAGACATGTACAGAACTTTCACCCCAAACACTAAATAATACACATTCTTCTCAGCAGCACATGGAGTGCTCTCCAATATTTTAGGACATAAAGCAAGCCTCCACAAATACAGAAAATTTGAAATAATATTCTGTACTCTATCTACCAAAATAAAATAAATTTAGATATCAATAGCAATAGAAACTGCACAAAATATACATGACATATGGATAGCAAAGAAGTGTTTTAAAATAAATTTCTTTAATACATTGGCAATACATGTTTTGATTTGTGTATATCTATTTTATATACCCATATGCAATGGGGTTGTATAAAAATTTATTGAGTAAAAAGGGGTCAGAGTGGAGAAAATTTATGAACCTCTGATATAAACATACTATGGCTATAAGACTAATGGTATCCATTAGGCCCACTTGAGCATCTTCTTAAAGGTTTCAGGTTTGGGCCTCAAGAAGGAACACAGGGTGAATTGTCCTTTTGGGTAAGAGATTTATTAGAATTATTAATGCCATATAGACAGCATGGGCAGACTTCTAAAGAGAGCTCAGGCCCAGGTGGCAGAGTCTGGTCTTTTCTTATAGGTGTTAGAGGAAGGGCAGATGTTCCATGCCATGTGGTTTGATGAGCATGTATAGGCTTGTAGTCAGACTGCCTCTGATTCTAGGGTGGGAGAGGGAGGGCAGAAAGTCTTGCATTTTAAGGAAAAAAAGTGTGACCTTGAAGATATGGAGGGAATGGGGGGGGACCTCGAGGATAAGGAGGGAATGGGGGGACCTTGAGTGGTATTGTAGAGAAAAAAGGGTGGAGGTGGGAGAGAGGGGGGGGGTGGGGGGGGGGACCTGGAGGATAGGGAGGGAATGGGGGGACCTTGAAGATACGGAGGGAAGGGGGACTCTTGAGTATATGGAAGGAGTGGAGGGGAGCCTTGAAGATATGGAGGGAATGGGGAGGAACCTTGAGGATATAGAGGGATCGGGGGGTTGAAGATATGGAGGGAGTTGGGGGGAACCTTCAGGATATGGAGGGAGTGGGGAGGAGGGGCCCATTTAATTCATTTGTATCCATCATATAGTTGTGAGTCTACTAGCCTGGGTCCTGTATGCAGAATCTGCTATGAGGGAGGAGAGAGAGTTGCAGATGGTCATGAACTGAGCACTGTCTGGTAGGAGTTCTAATACAGAGTTGACATAATCTGTCACTTAGTATTATGAGGCAACTTGGTCCAGGGAGTTGCAAGAGACAAGGTCACCTCATTACAGATATGACTTTCAGAAACCTTAAAATAAAACTTACTCTTTTTAAGAAAAACTTAAACTTCCTTTATGAAACACCTGTTAACTGATGTGGTCTGAATGTAGGTACAAAAAAAGGGAAGAGGAAGCTGGAGAGATGGCTATGTGGTTATGAGCACTAGTTAAAAAATCAGAAACCAGAGTCGGTTGGGAAAAAAAATCACAAGAGCATTATCTCGAGAAACAGCTGCCCGTGGAAAGGGCCATTTCCCCTTCTCACTTCCGCTTCTGTAAATATGCTTCTGCTCGAACTGTGTTACCTGCAGTCACTCAGGCTAGGAATTTTTAATGCCAATTACAGGACAGGTCTGAAATGATGCTATATAGCCTATAAGTGTCAGAAACTGTAAGTGGGAGCTCAGGTTTTGCAGGTTATTCATGTGAGTCTGTGGAGGCCCAAATAAAGCTCATGAATCTCCACTCCTGTGCCTGTTTTGAATGCAGTGATACCCGTAACAGTTGTTCGTTCCATTGTTATGCAATGCTCATGGAGGCCAGAAGAGGGTGACTGACACGCCCAGAACTGGTGTTGTGGATGATTGTTAGCCTCCCTGTGGGTGCTGGGAACCAATCCCGGATCCCCTGGAAGAGCAGTCTATGCTTTTAACCATCAAGTCATCTCTGTAGCCCACACTTAAATATTTTGGTTGTGAAAGTCAGAGCATGCAGGGAGGAGGGTAAGGGAGGGCAGTCAGGAAGGATGAATGAGAACAAGGCATGATAATAGGATGTATGAAAATGTCACAGTGAGACTCATTACTTTGTATGCTAACAAAAAGTTGATTTTAAAAAAGTAAAAGTAACGGATAAAATAGCTTTAATTCAGTTCCTTACGCTTTTCTTGAACTTGGAGTTTCCTTGTACACATGACCTCATTCATGAGTTGTCTCCTTGCCTCCTTCTCAAGTGCCCGCTCCTTCTCCTGCTCAGCCAGCTTCTTGGCCTTCACTTCCTCTAACACCCTGTTCAGTTCTTTCTCCTGGGCTGCTTCTTCCCTTTGTCTCTGTAGCAGATATTCATTGTATAGCTTCTGCTCTCTTGCCATGTCTGCCTACATAATATAATAATTCATGTTAGAATTAGATGATTAAGAATTATCAGAATACTTGCTCAGCATGGTAGTGCATAGCCGGCACTCTGGTGGCAGATGCAGGCAGATCTCTGGTCTACATAGCAGGTTCTAGGCTAGCTGGGGCTACAGAGAGACCCTGTCTCAAAAACAAACAACAAAAAAAGAATTACTAGAATACTTGGATGGTTATGTGCAGCTTTAATTTTAATTACATTTATTTTGGTCTTTTTGAGACAGGGTCTCTCTGTAGCCCCTGCTGGCCTGGAACTCACTATGTAGACCAGGCTGGCCTTGAACTCACAGAGATTT